TGAGTTTGGCGCGCGCTGTTGTTGTCATATGCCCTTGGCCAATCGCGGAGGCAGAAGAGAGCTTCCCGCGCGCCCACCGCATTCATGACGTCACTCGCGTGTGTCACCTGCTCCAATTTAAAGGGGCCGCTGCAGCTGTTTCCCTTCCTCCGTGTTACGCCAAGGGCCTTGTCCCTCAAAGCTAATGTACCAGCCGGGAATCGTCCATCTGCCCTTCCCTGCTCAGCATCCGGCCTGCAGCGCCTCCTCGGAAAGAGCCCGCTCCCGGGGCCCGCCTGGATTGCTCCAGGCTCCGCCTCCCTTAGTGCCCGGGTGTTGCTGCACCGACCGAGCAGCGCGGCCCGCACCCCGGCGCGGGAGCTGTAACAGGCAGCGGGCGGCCTTGTCCTCGGATGGGCACGTCCTGCGAGGCGGGGCTGAAAGTGACTTTCATTAGCAAACGGCGCTGTCGCTCCCGCGATGCCCTCAGGGGCCGGGGCTCGAAGAGGAGGCCCTGGCAGACGGTGATGGGCAGCAGCAGTCCCGCCCTGCCTTTCGCCGCTCTGCTAGAAGACAAAAGTTCCCCAACGAAAGGGATGCTTGAGAACGTGTTTGCCCCGGGATGTAGAAGGCGCATCTTACAACGCTGTTAGGGGCTCGTTGATACAATTGAAATGGTAACTAGATGAATAAATACCATCGATATATGGGTTGATGGTAACTGCCCAAGCCAGTCGTTGTAGATGCTTCCACGCAGAAGTGGGTGTGTGCTTTTTCAAGTGTCAGAACCATTGTCCCATAAGAGCGGGATGATCAAAATGAGGGGGAAAAACCGACCCTGTGTTTTGAAGACTGTGCTCTCATCTTGAAATGAGAAACATCTCACACCAAAGATGGCATTCTGAAGTGTTCCTGTTACTCAGATTGCAAGAGCATGTGAAGCTCTGTCTTCTGTTTTGGGGTTGTTGTTTTTTTAATTAACCTGTTTTTCAAAGTTCTGCAAGTCAGTATCCGCAAACAGAAACAAACCTCATAATACTTGGGGGACAGTTGGCCATTGGGATATACAGCTGTAGTTAGAGGCTATCATAAATTATTCAGAACTCTTATTTTGTGCTGTTAGAAGTAGCCCTTAGCTGCAATGGATTTTTTTTTGTATTTGATTTCCTTACTCATTACATTCGGTATGTACTAGAGTAATCTATATGAAGAGAATTATACGCTGAGTGAGCTAACCTTTCTAGCTTAATCAATGTACAGACAAGTTTGGTCCATTCTGTGATGCTTAAGAGTTCTGGGCGTGCAGCCAATTTATTGCAATGCTATTTTGCATAGTAATAGATCCACTTCGCTTCTTGGTATATGTCCATTGATGTGTCTTCCCAGTAACACAACATATTGAAAAGTCCTAATCCAGTTTGAGTCATTACTTACTCTGCTCCATATTGTGACAATAATCAGATTGAGTCAGTTACTTACTCTGCTCCATATTGTGACAACAATCAGTCAATGTACCCATAATAGGAAAAATGTTATCTTCAATACAAGTACTTCAATCAGTGCTGGAGCACTTGGGATTTTTGTTTTTCACATGCACAATACACACACTGTAGTGTCAAACATAAATTAGTAAAAAAATGTATATCTCTACAAGAGAGCACATGATCCATATAACCAAAAATATTCCCAAGTAGCACCTGATATGTAAATAGTAGCAATATGTTTTCTACTGGACAGTGGAATTGATGTTGGATAATACAGCATTTCACTGCTATTAATTGTGTAAAAATAAAAATAGCTTGAACTGATCTAACCATTTATGTTGTAACTCCCAACATAACTGATCTCCTAAACCCTTTGGTTTACATCCCTGCCAATTAATCCTGCACTGGGATCTGCTAGCATGGACACTTATACCCTAGAAGATTCTTAATGCAATTAATACTATTCCACATGTATCTAGTAATCCATAAGGGCAGATTTGCATTACAAATCCAGGGATTACATCAGCTTTTGCTTTATCCATCTCAGTTTTTTTTTAAGGGTTCAAAATTGGGAAGCATGAAAATATAACTTGTGAACCCTGTTAATATTTAATATATAAATACTACCTATCCAGTTTATAGAAAAAATCAGCATTAATATTTGAGCAAAGTTTAACAGATAAAGATAAAAGATTTGGAAAGAGATATGCCAGTATATTTGAATTCATTCAGGCTACGTCTAGACTGGCATGATTTTCCACAAATGCCTTTAACGGAAAAGTTTTCCGTTAAAAGCATTTGCGGAAAAGAGTGTCTAGATGGGCACAGATGCTTTTCTGCAAAAGCACTTTTTGCGGAAAAGCGTCCATGCCAATTTAGACGCGCTTTTGTGCAAAAAAGCCCCAATTGCCATTTTCGCGATCGGGGCTTTTTTGCGGAAAACAAATATCAGCTGTCTACACTGGCCCTTTTGTGCAAAAGGACTTTTGCCCGAACGGGAGCAGCGTAGTATTTCCTCAAGAAGCACTGATTTTTTACATGAAGTAGTCAGTGTTCTTGCGGAAATTCAAGCGGCCAGTGTAGACAGCTGGCAAGATTTTCCGCAAAAGCAGCTCAGTGTATATACCTAAAACGATAATTGAATTCTTTTTTTTTTTTATTATTCATTGGCATAGATCTAGTCAAACTTCTCCTTTGAATGCACCAAGTTGCTGTGTTTGGTTCACTTCCCACACTGGACCCACCTAAATGCTTTTAAGTTCTCTTTATTTGGGCAGGCTAGTTGCTCACTCATCTCTTGTTTTTCTGTCTCTGTCTGTCTGTCGCTCTCACTCTATTACCCACTAGTGGAATCTCACAGCCCAGATGCCTGAAGGCCATAGGCCCAATGCTGACCCTCTACATTCAATATCTTAAGCCAAGGGTGGACAATAATTTTTGATGGGGGGGCCACTCCCAAGATTTTGGAAAGTGGTTGAGGGCCGCACTCTTCCATGATATTAATAGAGGAGATGCAGGGTCTGGGATGGAGGTTGGATGCAGAAGGGAGATTGGGGTAAGGAATTGAGGTTCAGGAGGGAGAATGGAGTCTGGGGGGGAGTTTGGGTGAAGGAAGCGATTGTGACCTAGAACAGGGGAGTAGAGTGCGGGGTTTGGGATGTGACCTAGGGTAGGAGGGGATTGTGATCTGAGGCAGCGAATTGGGGTGCCAGATCTGGGAGGGCGTAAGAGTGCAAGAGGGAGCAGAGGGTTTGGGTATGTTGATTTGGGTGGGCAGAGGGTCAGGGAAGGGGGGGCTAGAGTGCTAGAGACAGACAGGAGACCTACCAGCCAGCAATCAAACCAGCCTGCCTGCCTGCCTGCAGAGCTAAGGCTTGCAGAGCTTAAAACATTTTTCAGCCTGCCTGACCTCTGCCTGAACAGGTTGCATGGCCATGTGCTTGTGTGAATAATTGAGGTGAGGAGAGGGGATGTGGGTCGTCTTGGTTGCCTGTTATTCAAACCGGCAGCTCCCATTAGTCAATTTCTGGCCAGACATTGGCTAATGGGATTGTGCTGGGGCAGCTCCTGAAGCTCCCTGTCGTTCCTCCCCCGTCCCACTCCAGATTTGAATCAGAAACAGGGTGTGGCAGCTGTGTTTCTGAGCATCATGCTGGGCAAGCAGGGGAGCCTGCCTGGGGCTCCCTGCTGCCTCTGCAGGCTGGATCCGCGGGCCATACTCTGCCCAGGCCTGTCTTAGCACTCCCTTTCCCAGAGGCAGAGCTTCACTTTGTGGGAAATCTAGTATACAGTTTACATTTTCAGGATCATATGATAGTTGAAGCAAAAATATTCAGACTGCAAAAAGGAATTCTAAATCAGTCCTATTTTATACTAGAGAGACCAGCTGTATGGAAAACCTGTATATAAATTCCTATACTCTGCCCAGGCCTGTCTTAGCACTCCCTTTCCCAGAGGCAGAGCTTCACTTTGTGGGAAATCTAGTATACAGTTTACATTTTCAGGATCATATGATAGTTGAAGCAAAAATATTCAGACTGCAAAAAGGAATTCTAAATCAGTCCTATTTTATACTAGAGAGACCAGCTGTATGGAAAACCTGTATATAAATTCCTGCCTCCGCATTCTCACTCCAAGAGGATCAGTGTTTGTTAAAACAGAATGACCTAAAACCTACATCCAAACTAAGCCAAACTTTAGAGAAATTTTCAAATTCAATAACGGTGTTCCTTGTTGGTGATTTTTATTAAGACATAACCTATGTATGAAAACCTTTTTGTGACTACTTATATGATTTGTGCACTCAATCCTTG